TGGGCACTTCCTTGTTACCTATGTGTACTGCATGGTTACCTTTGGGCACTTCCTTTTCCCGCGAGCCCTAGTCTCGCCCCTGATGCCTGTTTCCTGTCCCTGCAGCCCCGACTCCCGAGTCTCCGTGGCGCTCGATGGCTCCCTGTCCGTGGCATCCGTGACTGAGCATGATGCCGGCGACTACGTGTGCATGGCGCGGAACTCAGCGGGTGACGAGTACACGGCCTTCACCGTCCACATCCTCGTGGAAACCGACCCCGCGGCTCCTGGGTTCACATCTAGGTTTGCTTCCAGGTTTCCATCGAGGAATTCGCACATGGACCTTGTGGTCGTGGATGTGCGCTACGGCGACACGGCTCGGCTCCCATGCGCAGCGGCCCTGGCCCTGGATTCACAGTCCACCGAGACCATGTGGACGTCACCTGCGAGGATGCCTGTGCTGGTGACACCATCATCCAGGAGATACAGCATGGACGCAGGCGGGACTTTGGAGATCCGCGAGGCCCGACGTGCAGATGCCGGAAACTACACGTGCACGGTGAGGACGGTGGCCGGTGACGTCGTCCACTCTGTGGCGCTGCTCCGTGTGGCCGTCCTGGGGCCCCGGATCCACAGCGCTGTAGCAAATGTGGTGGTGCCGCTGGGCGGTCGGACACAGATCCCGTGCAGGGCTGAGGGTGTCCCGCCGCCCCGCGTGCTGTGGGCACTGCCTGGGGGCGTGGTGCTGCCCTCGCCGTTTGCGCCATGGTCGCGACTGGCAGTGCTGGCAGATGGCACACTGGAGATCCGTGCGGTGCGGGCGTCGGACGCAGGGCTACTCGAGTGCATTGCACGCAATGAGGGTGGCGAGGCCCGTGTGGCCGTGCGCCTCACCGTGACCCCTGAACCCAGGGTTGTGGCCCCGACAACCACGCGGGAATCTGTCACGGCTACAGCGGGACACACGATCACGCTGCGCTGCCCAGGGTCTGCGTGGCTCCCACCCGGGTCACGTCTGCTTTGGCTCCTCCCTGATGGTACAGAGCTGGTGGGCGGGCGTGACCGTGGCCGTTTCCACCACGGCGTGGATGGTGCCCTCCATGTTTCTGCACTGACATGGGCAGATGCCGGGATTTACCGCTGCGCGGCTGCGGATGCCTCAGGCATCTACGTTGGCGCTGTGGCGCTAAGTGTGGGGTCAGGGTCTCCGGATGCTCAGGCAGACGATGCGGGGCACCTGAGGCACATGTCAGGCGTGGATGCTGTCCCCGTGGTCTCCGCCCATGTGGGGAGCAGCGTGCGCGTGGCATGCCGTGGTGTGGGGAACTCCGGTGCCCCGGTGACATGGGAGCTGCCGGACCACACACAGGTGACGTCATTATCCACAACTTCGCGCTCATCTCGCGCCCACGTGGACCCACGGGGGTGGCTTGCACTCTGGCCTGTCACGCTCAAGGACACCGGGCTTTATCGCTGCTGGGTGCCAGGCAGCGGCAATGTCGCCAGGGCTGTGTTTGTGCACGTGGACTGAGCCTGTCTCCCATGGAATGGACGCCGCCATGCTCGTGCTCAGGGAAACCGTGCCCGCCCCTCCCCCGCCATGACACAGGCTTCGTCCACAGTCTCCCAGTATCCTTTGGGGCCGGATGGGCGGGGCCTACGGCAACATCACCAATCAGTGTGATGGGAACCCCAGGCCCATGTCTCCCATGATGCTGTGCGGCGGCCTGCGGGATTTCCCGGAGTCACATCCATGTTTTCATGCCACTTCTGGGTCACTTCTGGTCCATTTTCTGTTTACTTCTGGGTCACTTCCTGTTGACCTCTGGTCAGGAAGTTTTACAATAAAACATTTTTTTTTCCAGCAACAAAGATGACGGTTGCGTTGTCTGTGAGTGGGAGGGAGGGAGGAAGGAAGGGGCCATGGGGACAGGAAGGGGTGGGGCCTGGGGGTGCAGTCTTCTGTCAGTCACCGACAGGACGGGAAGTGGGCGATGATCATGAGGGACCCATGGGGAAACTGAGTCAGGAAGGATGGAGATTGCAGGAAGTCCCACCGCTGCCGTCGGCCTCGCTCCCAACTCGCAGCTGAAATGAAGGAATGAATGAGCGAACAAGCCCAAAGTTTATTCATATCCCAGGTGTGAGGGTGGGGTCAGGAATCACATGATGTCATCGCCTCTACGGAGTCACCGAGGATAATGTCTTCTGACAGTCTCGGGGTCTGCACAGGCGAAGAGAACAGGAAGTCCCCCCAACAGCCCGGTATGTCCTGCCCCCTCACTTCCTGTCCCAGCCCTCACATCCTTCGCAAATAAAAGAGCAAGGGAAACAAATAAAAGCAGAAGGTTTTGAGTGACAGCAAGGGGCGGGGACAGGAGGGTGGGACAGAAAGGGGTGGGGACAGGCGACAGGAATGGGGGGGCTCACCGCTGCACCTCAGGCATCCCCACTGCTGCCTGGACCGGAAGTAGCTAATGCTGGCTCCCACGAGCCAACAACAGAGACAATCGGGGAGATGATGCAGGCGATGGTGTTTCCTGTCCGAGGCATGGCTGGGAGTGACGAACAGGTTGGGTGGTGGACAGGAAGTCCCGCCCGCTTGGGATCCCCATTCTCTCAGACTACCCTAATCTACGTCATGCTGACAGCTGAAGATAATTAAGGCAGAGATGATAATAGATGAGAAGATTTTTAAGCACAAAATCAATATATTCACCACATCAAACATGAAGAACAGAAAACACAGGTCAAGAAATGAGGAAAAGTAAAAGAAGAGAAAACTAAAACTCTCTCCCCAGAAACTTCCTAAACCAAGAAACGCTCAGGGACCTCATAATATAGTAAATTTTCTAAAAAAGAATGATGAAGATCTATTACTTTATAGAGAAAAAATAATAAATTTAGATGATAATTATAAAATAAACAGTGTAGATGGTGTCATAGGTAAAGTAAGACACAAAGACAGGCCTACAAATGCACATCATGGTTCCTCAAACAAGATTGACGAGGTGTTCACCAAAATTAAATAACAGGAAGTTGCTGGCCAGCAGTGACTGAAGATTGCCTATAAGTTGGCTTCAGAGTGAGGAAATAAAAACTTTTTCAAACCAGATGCAAGATAACAAATTTTTAAAGAATCAGTGTAGGATTTATATTTTACACCTAAAGCAACTTTTGCTCTAATTGTTTTACGAGTCACAAGGATATTTGAAAAGAAGTTTATCCCCACATTTTGTAAATGTTTATGTCTGAGAAAGAATGTCTTCCATGTGTATACAGGTGACATATAAGGAAAGAGTGTGTCAGATCTCCTGGGTCTGATATCGGAATATGAACAGGCCTAATAATCTCAAGTCCCTGAAAAACTTTTACACTAAAGACTGGCCTGGGTTGAGCAACACTTTAGCTACATCGCTCTGGTTATCTATGGGGAAAATCTTTTACAAACTTATAGAGCTGCTATGGAAATCAAAATGGCAGTTCCTCAGAAAATTGGGGGTAGATTCACCCCCAGGATTTGCTGTACCAGCCTTGGGCACAGACCCACAAATGATCCACCCCCCAGCTCCCAAATAAATCACATGGAGGATCATTCTCATCTATGAATGCCCAGCCTTAGCTTGGTTCTCATCAGCTTTTCTTAATTTAAATTATTCTATCTACCTTTTGCCTTTGGGATTTTATCTTTATTCTATATACCTTTCTTTACTTCTTACTCTGTGGCTTACTGTGAGGCTGGGTGGCTGGTCCCCGACATTTTCCTCTTTCACTTCTTGGTCCTCAATCCTTCTGTCTTTCTCCTTCTACTTATTCTCTGTCTGGCATCCCAAACTATCTCTCTCCTGCCTAGCTTTGGCCATTCAGATCATTATTAGACCAATCAGGTGTTTTAGGCAGGCAAAGTAACACAGCTTCACAGAGTTAAAAATAGAACATAAAAGAATGCAACACATTCTTGCATCATTAAACAAATATTCTACAGCATAAATAAATGTAACACATCTTCAATTAATGTTGCTCAACCTTTCCCCTCTTGTCTAAATAAAAAATGAAAGGTTATAACTTTTAACTTTCTCTACAGCTGCCATTTCCTTTTCATTAGGATTAAAAACTTAAAGTTAGCCGGGCGGTGGTGGCGCATGCCTTTAATCCCAGCACTCGGGAGGCAGAGGCAGGCAAATCCCTGTGAGTTCGAGGCCAGCCTGGTCTACAAGAGCTAGTTCCAGGACAGGCACCAAAAACTACAGAGAAACCCTGTCTCAAAAAAAAAAAAAACTTAAAGTTAATAAACTACTGTGCAATCTATAACTAGAGGTCTTAATTACCCCTTTCTGTTTATTAAGCATATATTTTAGGGAGCCACATGAAACATTAACTAATTAATCTTTATGAATAAAAATTGGGAGTCAGATATCGGGGTAAAAGCCTGAAAGATTGAAGAAACAGTGGAAGTCTATTGATATAAATTTAAGGTCAATTTTGTTAGATGAATCTCTGCTCTTGTTTAAGGTATTATATTTGTTCAGTTCATTTATGATAATGTATAGTTAAGATATACAAATTAATAGATAGTCATTTATAATAGTTAAACTTGTAGTCATATAAGTTAGGTTTTCTAGATGTACAGAGATATATTTCATATGCATATGTATTCTTCAAATCTTTCAAAGACATACAGAATATGGCATTTTAAAGGTTTTAAAAACTTAGGCCTTTTCATGACAGTGAGACATGTCTCCTGGTAGCACCAATTATTTCAGAGAGGTTGATGGGCATTGAAGAAACTCATTATGGAATTTGCCTTCAATGTGACAAGGCTAGCCATTTGGGCAAGACATTGCTCTTGCCCGGATTGTTTGATGGTATGTTGTATAAACTGGACATGCAGGACCTATTAAAAATGACTGGTAAAGTTGCCTAAAGAAGGTGAGACAGTTTCTGCTTCATGAAAGAGTCTGCTAGACATTCTGTGGGATACAGAAAAAAGGTGATTGAGAAACTGCCAATATAGATAAAACTGTCTTTGAAATTTTCTGCTTCGGAAGTGCTTATAATTACTTAAGTAATATATATCCTTCTAGAGTATTTGATGAAGTTGAAGAAAGATCATTTTATTATTATAAAAGATAGATTAGACATAAAACTTTAGACTCACAAAGATAGAATAAATGATAGAATATTTTCCTTAATTTGCAAATGTAAATGGACTAAATATTGTAACTATAGCTATTGCTTGATAATTGTGTTGTTATATGTAATCATGCTATATCAAAGTTAAAACCTTCCTTTTAATTTAGACAGAAAAGGAAGGTGTTGTGCAATTCCCCTCTGTATGCTGTGAATATGTTTTATTCCCATTGGTTAATAAAGAAATTGCTTTGGGCCTATGGCAGCACAGAATAAAAAATGTGGGAATTCCAAGCAGAGATAGAGGAGAAAAGAAGGCAGAGTCAGGGAGATGCCATGTAGCCACTGAAGGAGATAGGTGCTGGATGGAACCTTACTGGTAGGTCACAGCCATGTGGCAATACACAGATTAATAAAAATGAGTTAATTTAGGATGTAAAAGTTACTTAATAAGAAGCCAGAGCTATTGGATATGCAGTCTTATGATTAATACAAGTTCTGTATAATTGTTACAAGTCTGGGCAGAGGAGAAATGAACAAGCAATCTCAGTCTATACCAGGATATAATGAAGTTTGCAAGCTATACAGCATACACAAGATTAATGTCTAAATTCAATTGTCCTGTTAAGCATTCATGACTCCTTGACTACTAAGGGATCATACAAAGAAGCACAAATCAGCCTGAACGCTTCACTGCCTGAGGGAATGCAACAGTCTGTCAGGAACTGGGAGGTATATTGTGACCCAGGAATCATGGACTTTAACCTAAAATACCTATGACACAGGTCTCTCAAGCCAGTTAGATCAGAGGCCAACTTCATGGTTCCCTGAAGAGCCTACTGCCCACTAAAATCCTATGACCTCCACCGTCTGTCATTACTCTCAACATTCCCATCTTCTAGGTCCTACAAGAACAGCTGATTAAGCTCTTTGCCCAGTTTTCTGATATCGTCAGCATTCTTCTCAGAGTCAACATTCCCAGGTCCTTTGCAGCAACAAAATCCCCATTTGAGTCCCAATTTTGTTCTGACTTCCTTCTCTGTTGCTGTTATTAAATTATGGAATCAAAAGCAACTCAGGTAATGAGCATGTTTATTTGTTTGTTAACTCTATTTGACAATTCCTCCTTGTGAGAGCTTAGGATAAAAACTCAAGCTAATAAGTAAAGGCAAAACATGTGGAATCATTGTTTTCTGGCTTTCACTTAATTTTGTCACTGTCTTGTGCTCAGCTAGTTCTCCTATCTATCCCAGTGCTGCTTGTTCAGAGATATTGGCAACTCAGTGGAAGAGCCTTCCTATATCAATCAAAATCAACAAAATCTCTCTCAGATACCTTAATCAGGTATTCTGATCTAGGCAAACTTCCATTGGTATTTTCTCAGATAACTCTAAGCTATGCCATGCTGATAGCTGAGGCTAATTAGAAGAAAGAGACAATAATATACAAGAAGGTTTTAAAGATCCAAAGGCAATGTACTAATTATATCAATCACTTAAGCAGGACAAACATAAAGATAGATATGCCAGGAAATGGAAGGAGGAAAACATCTAAGATAAAGAAGAGAAAACGTAAACTGTCTCTCCACAGAACCTTCCTAAACCAACAAATTGTCAAGGAACTCATAACATGAGAAATCTGAAAACAAAATTGGTGAGGCCATTATTTTCCAGAAAATAAAAAATATACTTAGATAACAATTAATAAAATCAACAACATAGATTGGTGGCACTGACAAACAA